CGAAAGCATTTGATAAGGTACCCCACTTGAGGCTATCACAAAAGCTGAGCTCCTACAGTGTATCTGGCCGCGCCCTTCACTGGGTATCTGCATTCTTGCAGGGAAGACAGCAGTGTGTACGTATAGGTCGCAGCTTATCCTTTAGGCAAGCGGTCCTTAGCGGTGTCCTACAGGGATCGGTCATTGGACCGATGCTGTTCTCCATCTACGTAAACGATGTCCCTGGAGAGCTTGGGGTATCATACCTATTGGTTTCTGATGACCTTAAGCTATGGAATGTTGTAAATGTTCCTGGGGGTTCTGAGGCCATACAGCATGCATTGGACAGACTCTGGGACTGGTCTACTTTGCGGCTACTGCCCATTAATCAGGCTAAGTGTTCCGTCCCTCGTATAGGAGCAGTTTTTCCGCCTTCCAGCTACGTACTCGGTAGGGTCGAACTCAACCTTGTCTCCAACCAGGTAGACCTAGGCGTCGTCCATTCCTCGTCTTGCATTCTGGTGACAACTGGAAGAAGGCCGCTAGTAGGGGTTTCAGAATATTGTGGTTAATACGCCATTCTTTCGGGGTCTTAACTGCCGACATATTTGTGAAGCTGGTCTCATCTTTCGTTCGGCCCCATTTGGAATACTGCGTCCAGGCTTGCCCGCCCTGCCTTGTTCTGGACAAAATGGAGCTCGAAAGGGTTTTGAGAGTAGGTATCAAATTGGTCGTGGGGTTACGGGAGCAATCGTACCCCGAGCGTCTACTTAGCTTGGTTTGTATTCAATGCGCTACCGACGGCTTCGAGGAGACCTAATCCTTACTTACCACATTTTAACAGGGACGGTTGAACCGGATTTAAGCTTGCTATTTAGCCCGGCTAGGTTGCCTTGTCTTCGCGGTCATCCCATGAAGCTACACAAGCCGCGTTCTGACCGGATCAGGGCGGAAACTCGGTTATCGCGTAGAGTTATCGAGCGCTGGAACTCTCTTCCAGAAAGTGTAGTCAGTGAACCTACGGTTAAGGTTTTCGAGCGTCAGTTAGGCGCTCTTGGGTGGCAAGACGAAACCTTTCCCTTCTCATATCATATCTATATTGGTTCATTGTTTCGTTGGTTAATAGAGAGCAGAAGGTAGTTCGTTTGTCAGCTACGTCACTTCCCGAACATTGTGAGGGTTGCTGAGGATCATTGCGGAACATGGTTCAGCAGAGGGTCGCTATGGTTGTATTGTGGGCAGCAGAATCCCTGCACACTCAGAGAGTGGGTATCCAACCGTCGTTTGAAACATTCCTCCGCCTCCGCATCGTCGACAGCCTCTGGCAAGCTGTTCCATTCATTCACTACCCGGGTGGATAGGGCCAGATCGGAGTCTCCGCGGTATGAATAGTCTCCATCGGTGGCCTCGAGTTGCACAACTTGTGTTTAGACGAAAGAACGATTGCAGCTCACTCCCCAGCTCACCTCGTAGAATATCATATCTCCGCGGCGACCAACTTTTATTTCATATTCTATTATTCTCTTCACTATTTGGAGTTATCCTTCATTTAAATGACTTTCAATCCCATTTACCTTCCACTTCTTTCTTCACGTAACTTGCATAACTGGGACTGATATTGCAGGGAACGTGGGCAGCAAGGCGTGTTTCGTTTTAGCTCTATCAAGAACTAGCACCTTATCATTTCCTGGGTCAACGATTGGCTCACGATGGAACACTCAAGGGATTTTCGTATCGTCCCAGTCCACCTGAATCTGCAACGGTTGCAGTAAAGTAGTTTACTGTAACCATGGTAACGTGTCCCCGAAAATTCCAACCTCAGTATTTGCAGCGAGATACTGTTATTTCAAGGGCCTGCTTAAAGCTAAAATATGTTAGTCGTCTGATATACATAAGCCTGTTTTAAGTATCCTATGAATGAAAATGTGCTAAAACGCTGTAGGAGATGTATAATTCAGGCTTAACCCGCATAATGTGCTGTGATTGTTCGTTGGTGATGCATTCTTATAAAATATCATTTGCTGTAACGGGTAAATCAGGGAATCCGCAAGGTGAAATAAATGAAATCATGCAGAAAAATGAAACGGAAAAGGTAGTGTTGTTGAATGTTAACCGGTGAAGGAGCTCGAGAAGCCACATTATTTTGATATATGCAATTAAATGGGGAACTTGTAAAATCCATGTGAGAAATACACAGAACTACACAGTGATGGGCATAAATTAGCTTCTGAAAAGTGACACAGGTAATGTGAACTCATAAGATGTGTACAGTTGTGCAATACGTTGAAGTATCTGCAAATTATTGACGTAGAATTCATTTCGAATTATTAATGTGCCGGCCATCCAGTAGACATAATGCGCGGAGGTGGTGCGGAATTAAGGATGAATAGAAATAGCATGTTATATAACGCATAAACGTAAGGGTATATATAACGATGTGAAATGTAACGAAGTTCCTGGAATGGGGTACCGGCGGGAGCTGGAAAACGGGCACGGAACAAATCAACGGCGGTAGAAAGCAGCACGGAGTCAATCACAGCGGACACACGGCGCGAGAAGCACACACAGCAACCGGGCACTCACAGAATCGCAATACGCAAGCGTGACACGGGCAAAACGAGCAGACACGGAGGAAGCACGTTTATCCACAACAGGAAAAAACAGAGGTGTACAGGACCTTGATAAGACAATCAAAACAAAAAGGGAATGTCAGAGTTTTGGGTCGGTAAAGTGCCTTCGCACGTTTTCATATATCTGTGGTTTCTCGAGAATCTGCAAATGAAAGAGAAAAGAAAGAGATCATTTAAGTAGTCTTTAAAACGACCCATGGCGGTTTCGATTTCGTTACACCACTCCCCCTTCCGGCGAAGACACTGTCCTCAGTGTCTCAGTGCCCTGAATACTCGCCGAGCCGCCTTCGGGGGGTATCTCCACAGTGTGTTCCACGATCGGGAGGCATCCGGGTGGGACGACTTCCTCCTTCGGAGTAGAGGCTGAAGATCCCGCTGGTTTCAGCTGATTGTAATGCACGGTCAGAACGTCGGAATTTGGTTGAGCGACATCTCGGACGACATACACCGTGGGTGAACGGACGAACACAATCTCGTATGGCCCTTGCCACTGTCGGTGAAACTTCGCTGCTGCGCCAGGCGGAGGTCTTGGGCGGTGCAACCATACGCGATCTCCAATGTGATATTCAGGGCCCCTACTGTGCCGATCATAACATACTTTCTGACGATGCTGTGCTATCCTTGCGTGTTCTCCCGCACACAGAAAGGCTGATCGAAGACGTTCGCCAAGCTGTCGTACGTAGTCTAACAGAGAACAAGCCTCGATTGGGGGAATAGGGGATATCAGCTCCAGAGGCAAACGAAGCTCGTGACCAAATGTCAGGAAGGCTGGAGAATACCCCGTGGTTGCATGCACAGACGCTCGATACGCCATCATGCATTGTGGAATAGCTTCGTCCCATCGATCTGACTGGTGCCGCTCCAGGAAACTCTGCAAAATCCCTTTTATAGTTCGGTTGGTGCGCTCTACTAATCCATTCCCTTGTGGATGATACGATGTGGTACGTGTCTTCCTCACCGAGAGCAGCCGACACACCTCCTGAAGCAGGTGACTCTCGAAGACGGCGCCTTGATCTGAATGCAGTGACAGCGGTGCTCCATAGCGGGCAATCCACTCATTTACGATGGCTGACGCAACCGTTGCCGCATCCGGATTTTTGATAGGTATGGCCTCGCACCATTTCGTAAAATAATCTATAAGAACAAGGAGGTGGCGGTTCCCGTTCCTTGTGACTGGCAAAGGCCCCATTAGATCGACTCCGACTCGCTGACCTGGGGACGTGGCCACTATCGGTTCCAATGGGGCCCGGGATAGGGGGGTCTTCGATTTGATAGCGGCACAGATCTCGCAGGCGTTACATAGCTTCACGACGTCGGCGTGGATTCCTGGCCACCAATACCGTTGACGTATGGCTGTCTCCGTCTTTAGTTGGCCAGCGTGACCTAACTGCTGATGGACTGCTTGTAGTACGCCCGGCACTCTCGACATAGGAGTAATCACTTTCGGGCCCAGGTCATCCATGAGGAACAGCGTCCCACCAATGATTCTTAATCGGCTCCAGTGGTCCCATAGTGAGCGTTCGTCTTTCGAACGGGATTGCATTTCCGTACCCGATGGTTTAGACGATCCTTCCACTTGCCGCATATAAATGTTAGATATATATGGGTCCTGGGCTTGATCCTCTGACCACGTTGTATCAGTTTCCGAGTGGTGTAGAACTGCATTTATTTCGTCCAGAGCGGGAATTCGAGAAAGGGCATCTGCGTTGGCATGCCGTGCTCCCGGCCGGTACTCACAGGTAAAATCGTACTCTTGTAGGCGTTCTTGCCACCGCGCGACTTGTCCCTCCGGGTCACGGAAGTTTTGTAACCATTGCAGAGATTGATGGTCAGTCCGCACAAGGAAAGGTTTTCCGAGTAAATATGGTCGAAAATACTTCAAGAAATACACCAAGGCCAACATCTCACGTCTCGTTGTGCTATACTTACGCTCTCGCTTGTCCAGTCGGCGGCTAGCATAAAAGATCACGGTTTCCCCAATAGAAGTTTTCTGCGACAAAACAGCGCCAATCGCCTCGTTACTGGCGTCGGTGTCTAGGACAAAAGGCCCAGCTCGTTCGGAAGTATCCGGGAGACCTAACAGCGGTGGCGACGTGAGGCATTCTTTCAGTCGTCCGAAAGCGCTGGCACACTCGTCCGTCCAAACAAACTTCCGTCCCTTTTCCGTCAGGCGATGTAACGGCGCCGAGATCGAAGCAAAATTGCGCACAAACCTCCGGTAGTAAGATGCCAGTCCCAAAAAACTACGCAATTCATCAACTGATCTGGGTTGTGGCCACGACCTTATCCGTTCGCACTTGTCGGGGTCGGTTTGAATGCCGTCTGGCGTTATTACGTGTCCCAAAAAGTTAACCTGCTCGCGGAGAAAACGGCACTTCCGTCCCTTCAGCTTTAATCCAGCTTGCCGTAACCGCTCCAAAACTGTACGTAGACGGGTGTTGTGCTCTTCGACCGACCTACCATGCACTATCACATCATCCAAATATATCAAACATTCCTTGGGTACGAGGCCCTCCAATACTTTCTGCATCAGGCGCTGGAAGGTGGCTGGGGCATTAGCCAACCCGAAGGGCATGGTCTCGAATTCATACAGCCCGGATGGTACAATGAACGCGGTTTTCTCCCTATCGGACGGACGGACCTCCACTTGCCAATACCCGGCGGCCAAATCGAGAGTAGTAAACCATCGCGCACCATGAAGAGCATCAAATGTGGCGTCAATGCGAGGGAGGGGGAAGGGGTCTTTACGGGTGACTTCGTTTAGCTTTCGGTAATCTACACAAAGTCGTAGAGAACCATCCTTCTTCTTCACGAGTACGATAGGAGACGACCAAGGCGATGTCGATGGGCGAATAACGCGCATATCAAGCATCTCCTGGATCATGCGATCTAGCTGGGCTTCGTAATGAATGGGCACCCTTCGCGCCCGCTGGCGAATAGGATGCTGACTCCCTGTATCAATTTCGTGTTGGATGACGTTGGTGCGCCCAAGTTGAGTGTTGCAAAACAGATCCTCATAATTACGCAGCATAGAGAGAAGTGAGGCTTTTGAGTCTGGGGAAATACCACTGTGGTTACGCAAAGGCTCAATGACATCAGTCTCGAACTGTGATGGTTTCGAGGTGGCTTCTAAAACTGTGCAAACTCCCCGTGAGTGACACAGCTGCGTGTTGACAGGAGTGGACTTTGGTAATAGATTCGCGGTACCAAGCTGCAGCAAGCTTCCATGCTTAGCCAAAAAATCCATCCCTAGGATGGCGTCCCAACTTAGGTTACGACAAACTAGAAACTCGTGTACTGCAGTAACATGTTCCAGTTGGACTTGAGCCAACACTGCGAATTCGACGGGCAACTCAGCCCCGTTGGCCGTTAACACTCGTGGCCTTCTCTGAGTAGTGGCGCGGTGACCCCCGAGGCGGTCGGCTATTTCTAGACGCAACAACGAACATGACGCACCGGTGTCAAGCAAGAACTGGATGTTAAAACCATTGAGGCAGCCAACGGTGGTTAAAGGTCGAAACGGAGCATTACGAACAAAAGTGGACGCAAGGAAGCCGGATGGATGAAGACGTGACTTACCTTGCGAACGTCGCGGCTTGATCGGTGGGTTATGTCCGCAAAATTGCGCACGATTTCCAAAGCGACGGCAGTACCAACAATCGCGCCTGGACGGAGTGGAGTTGAAGTTAGATGCTCTGCTGTCGGAAATGGACACGTTTCTCAGTGCCGAACACAAAGTGGCCCGTCCATACTCGTCGCGTTCGTCCATTGAATCCAGGGACTCGTGGAACTGTGCCTTGTTCATGGCATCCGTGAAACTGCATGGCAGCATCCCAGCTAGTTGGTGACGTAGGGACCTGTCGTGCAACCCGGTGCAAAAACGCTCAGCCAGCCACTTATCCCGCTCGGCGTTGGAGAGATCGGGAAAGGCTCTCAAGGAGAGCTCCTGAAGTGCGCGCGCGAACGCTTCGACCGTTTCTCCCGACTGTTGGGTACGAGCAGCGAATTTCTGTCTATACAGAACTGCGGCTTCCTGTTTCCGAAACAGTCCGCGCAGTGATTCCCATATTTCTGAAGCTGGCGCCGTTGGAGGGATTCCAGTTGCGCGGAAGAGGCGCGTGGCTTCCTCGCTCAAAAAGCTGAGAACGTAAGGGCCCACATGCTTTTCGGGAATACTGGAAAGGTATAAGGATACATGAAACTCCCAATTGTCAAAATCATCCCCAGGCCGAAAAACTGGGGGTTGCCTCGGCACAGGTCGAAAATCCGAAAAATCCTGGGTAACAACACGAAGTTGCGATTTCATTTTTGGGGGGCTGACTTTTTCCTTCTCCATTGCGATCCCACCTCTGTCACCAAATGTAACGGAGTTCCTGGAATGGGGTACCGGCGGGAGCTGGAAAACGGGCACGGAACGAATCAACGGCGGTAGAAAGCAGCACGGTCAATCACAGCGGACACACGACGCGAGAAGCACACACAGCAACCGGGCACTCACAGAATCGCAATACGCAAGCGTGACACGGGCAAAACGAGCAGACACGGAGGAAGCACGTTTATCCACAACAGGAAAAACAGAGGAGTGTACAGGACCTTGATAAGACAATCAAAACAAAAAGGGAATGTCAGAGTTTTTGGGTCGGTAAAGTGCCTTCGCACGTTTTCATATATCTGCGGTTTCTCGAGAATCTGCAAATGAAAGAGAAAAGAAAGAGATCATTTAAGTAGTCTTTAAAACGACCCATGGCGGTTTCGATTTCGTTACACCACTCCCCCTTCCGGCGAAGACACTGTCCTCAGTGTCTCAGTGCCCTGAATACTCGCCGAGCCGCCTTCGGGGGGTATCTCCACAGTGTGTTCCACGATCGGGAGGCATCCGGGTGGGACGACTTCCTCCTTCGGAGTAGAGGCTGAAGATCCCGCTGGTTTCAGCTGATTGTAATGCACGGTCAGAACGTCGGAATTTGGTTGAGCGACATCTCGGACGACATACACCGTGGGTGAACGGACGAACACAATCTCGTATGGCCCTTGCCACTGTCGGTGAAACTTCGCTGCTGCGCCAGGCGGAGGTCTTGGGCGGTGCAACCATACGCGATCTCCAATGTGATATTCAGGGCCCCTACTGTGCCGATCATAACATACTTTCTGACGATGCTGTGCTATCCTTGCGTGTTCTCCCGCACACAGAAAGGCTGATCGAAGACGTTCGCCAAGCTGTCGTACGTAGTCTAACAGAGAACAAGCCTCGATTGGGGGAATAGGGGATATCAGCTCCAGAGGCAAACGAAGCTCGTGACCAAATGTCAGGAAGGCTGGAGAATACCCCGTGGTTGCATGCACAGACGCTCGATACGCCATCATGCATTGTGGAATAGCTTCGTCCCATCGATCTGACTGGTGCCGCTCCAGGAAACTCTGCAAAATCCCTTTTATAGTTCGGTTGGTGCGCTCTACTAATCCATTCCCTTGTGGATGATACGATGTGGTACGTGTCTTCCTCACCGAGAGCAGCCGACACACCTCCTGAAGCAGGTGACTCTCGAAGACGGCGCCTTGATCTGAATGCAGTGACAGCGGTGCTCCATAGCGGGCAATCCACTCATTTACGATGGCTGACGCAACCGTTGCCGCATCCGGATTTTTGATAGGTATGGCCTCGCACCATTTCGTAAAATAATCTATAAGAACAAGGAGGTGGCGGTTCCCGTTCCTTGTGACTGGCAAAGGCCCCATTAGATCGACTCCGACTCGCTGACCTGGGGACGTGGCCACTATCGGTTCCAATGGGGCCCGGGATAGGGGGGTCTTCGATTTGATAGCGGCACAGATCTCGCAGGCGTTACATAGCTTCACGACGTCGGCGTGGATTCCTGGCCACCAATACCGTTGACGTATGGCTGTCTCCGTCTTTAGTTGGCCAGCGTGACCTAACTGCTGATGGACTGCTTGTAGTACGCCCGGCACTCTCGACATAGGAGTAATCACTTTCGGGCCCAGGTCATCCATGAGGAACAGCGTCCCACCAATGATTCTCAATCGGCTCCAGTGGTCCCATAGTGAGCGTTCGTCTTTCGAACGGGATTGCATTTCCGTACCCGATGGTTTAGACGATCCTTCCACTTGCCGCATATAAATGTTAGATATATATGGGTCCTGGGCTTGATCCTCTGACCACGTTGTATCAGTTTCCGAGTGGTGTAGAACTGCATTTATTTCGTCCAGAGCGGGAATTCGAGAAAGGGCATCTGCGTTGGCATGCCGTGCTCCCGGCCGGTACTCACAGGTAAAATCGTACTCTTGTAGGCGTTCTTGCCACCGCGCGACTTGTCCCTCCGGGTCACGGAAGTTTTGTAACCATTGCAGAGATTGATGGTCAGTCCGCACAAGGAAAGGTTTTCCGAGTAAATATGGTCGAAAATACTTCAAGAAATACACCAAGGCCAACATCTCACGTCTCGTTGTGCTATACTTACGCTCTCGCTTGTCCAGTCGGCGGCTAGCATAAAAGATCACGGTTTCCCCAATAGAAGTTTTCTGCGACAAAACAGCGCCAATCGCCTCGTTACTGGCGTCGGTGTCTAGGACAAAAGGCCCAGCTCGTTCGGAAGTATCCGGGAGACCTAACAGCGGTGGCGACGTGAGGCATTCTTTCAGTCGTCCGAAAGCGCTGGCACACTCGTCCGTCCAAACAAACTTCCGTCCCTTTTCCGTCAGGCGATGTAACGGCGCCGAGATCGAAGCAAAATTGCGCACAAACCTCCGGTAGTAAGATGCCAGTCCCAAAAAACTACGCAATTCATCAACTGATCTGGGTTGTGGCCACGACCTTATCCGTTCGCACTTGTCGGGGTCGGTTTGAATGCCGTCTGGCGTTATTACGTGTCCCAAAAAGTTAACCTGCTCGCGGAGAAAACGGCACTTCCGTCCCTTCAGCTTTAATCCAGCCTGCCGTAACCGCTCCAAAACTGTACGTAGACGGGTGTTGTGCTCTTCGACCGACCTACCATGCACTATCACATCATCCAAATATATCAAACATTCCTTGGGTACGAGGCCCTCCAATACTTTCTGCATCAGGCGCTGGAAGGTGGCTGGGGCATTAGCCAACCCGAAGGGCATGGTCTCGAATTCATACAGCCCGGATGGTACAATGAACGCGGTTTTCTCCCTATCGGACGGACGGACCTCCACTTGCCAATACCCGGCGGCCAAATCGAGAGTAGTAAACCATCGCGCACCATGAAGAGCATCAAATGTGGCGTCAATGCGAGGGAGGGGGAAGGGGTCTTTACGGGTGACTTCGTTTAGCTTTCGGTAATCTACACAAAGTCGTAGAGAACCATCCTTCTTCTTCACGAGTACGATAGGAGACGACCAAGGCGATGTCGATGGGCGAATAACGCGCATATCAAGCATCTCCTGGATCATGCGATCTAGCTGGGCTTCGTAATGAATGGGCACCCTTCGCGCCCGCTGGCGAATAGGATGCTGACTCCCTGTATCAATTTCGTGTTGGATGACGTTGGTGCGCCCAAGTTGAGTGTCGCAAAACAGATCCTCATAATTACGCAGCATAGAGAGAAGTGAGGCTTTTGAGTCTGGGGAAATACCACTGTGGTTACGCAAAGGCTCAATGACATCAGTCTCGAACTGTGATGGTTTCGAGGTGGCTTCTAAAACTGTGCAAACTCCCCGTGAGTGACACAGCTGCGTGTTGACAGGAGTGGACTTTGGTAATAGATTCGCGGTACCAAGCTGCAGCAAGCTTCCATGCTTAGCCAAAAAATCCATCCCTAGGATGGCGTCCCAACTTAGGTTACGACAAACTAGAAACTCGTGTACTGCAGTAACATGTTCCAGTTGGACTTGAGCCAACACTGCGAATTCGACGGGCAACTCAGCCCCGTTGGCCGTTAACACTCGTGGCCTTCTCTGAGTAGTGGCGCGGTGACCCCCGAGGCGGTCGGCTATTTCTAGACGCAACAACGAACATGACGCACCGGTGTCAAGCAAGAACTGGATGTTAAAACCATTGAGGCAGCCAACGGTGGTTAAAGGTCGAAACGGAGCATTACGAACAAAAGTGGACGCAAGGAAGCCGGATGGATGAAGACGTGACTTACCTTGCGAACGTCGCGGCTTGATCGGTGGGTTATGTCCGCAAAATTGCGCACGATTTCCAAAGCGACGGCAGTACCAACAATCGCGCCTGGACGGAGTGGAGTTGAAGTTAGATGCTCTGCTGTCGGAAATGGACACGTTTCTCAGTGCCGAACACAAAGTGGCCTGTCCATACTCGTCGCGATCGTCCATTGAATCCAGGGACTCGTGAAACTGTGCCTTGTTCATGGCATCCGTGAAACTGCAGGGCAGCATCCCAGCTAGTTGGTGACGTAGGGACCTGTCGTGCAACCCGGTGCAAAAACGCTCAGCCAGCCACTTATCCCGCTCGGCGTTGGAGAGATCGGGAAAGGCTCTCAAGGAGAGCTCCTGAAGTGCGCGCGCGAACGCTTCGACCGTTTCTCCCGACTGTTGGGTACGAGCAGCGAATTTCTGTCTATACAGAACTGCGGCTTCCTGTTTCCGAAACAGTCCGCGCAGTGATTCCCATATTTCTGAAGCTGGCGCCGTTGGAGGGATTCCAGTTGCGCGGAAGAGGCGCGTGGCTTCCTCGCTCAAAAAACTGAGAACGTAAGGGCCCACGTGCTTTTCGGGAATACTGGAAAGGTATAAGGATACATGAAACTCCCAATTGTCAAAATCATCCCCAGGCCGAAAAACTGGGGGTTGCCTCGGCACAGGTCGAAAATCCGAAAAATCCTGGGTAACAACACGAAGTTGCGATTTCATTTTTGGGGGCTGACTTTTTCCTTCTCCATTGCGATCCCACCTCTGTCACCAAATGTAACGAAGTTCCTGGAATGGGGTACCGGCGGGAGCTGGAAAACGGGCACGGAACGAATCAACGGCGGTAGAAAGCAGCACGGTCAATCACAGCGGACACACGACGCGAGAAGCACACACAGCAACCGGGCACTCACAGAATCGCAATACGCAAGCGTGACACGGGCAAAACGAGCAGACACGGAGGAAGCACGTTTATCCACAACAGGAAAAACAGAGGAGTGTACAGGACCTTGATAAGACAATCAAAACAAAAAGGGAATGTCAGAGTTTTTGGGTCGGTAAAGTGCCTTCGCACGTTTTCATATATCTGCGGTTTCTCGAGAATCTGCAAATGAAAGAGAAAAGAAAGAGATCATTTAAGTAGTCTTTAAAACGACCCATGGCGGTTTCGATTTCGTTACACCACTCCCCCTTCCGGCGAAGACACTGTCCTCAGTGTCTCAGTGCCCTGAATACTCGCCGAGCCGCCTTCGGGGGTATCTCCACAGTGTGTTCCACGATCGGGAGGCATCCGGGTGGGACGACTTCCTCCTTCGGAGTAGAGGCTGAAGATCCCGCTGGTTTCAGCTGATTGTAATGCACGGTCAGAACGTCGGAATTTGGTTGAGCGACATCTCGGACGACATACACCGTGGGTGAACGGACGAACACAATCTCGTATGGCCCTTGCCACTGTCGGTGAAACTTCGCTGCTGCGCCAGGCGGAGGTCTTGGGCGGTGCAACCATACGCGATCTCCAATGTGATATTCAGGGCCCCTACTGTGCCGATCATAACATACTTTCTGACGATGCTGTGCTATCCTTGCGTGTTCTCCCGCACACAGAAAGGCTGATCGAAGACGTTCGCCAAGCTGTCGTACGTAGTCTAAGAGAGAACAAGCCTCGATTGGGGGAATAGGGGATATCAGCTCCAGAGGCAAACGAAGCTCGTGACCAAACGTCAGGAAGGCTGGAGAATACCCCGTGGTTGCATGCACAGACGCTCGATACGCCATCATGCATTGTGGAATCGCTTCGTCCCATCGATCTGACTGGTGCCGCTCCAGGAAGCTCTGCAAAATCCCTTTTATAGTTCGGTTGGTGCGCTCTACTAATCCATTCCCTTGTGGATGATACGATGTGGTACGTGTCTTCCTCACCGAGAGCAGCCGACACACCTCCTGAAGCAGGTGACTCTCGAAGACGGCGCCTTGATCTGAATGCAGTGACAGCGGTGCTCCATAGCGGGCAATCCACTCATTTACGATGGCTGACGCAACCGTTGCCGCATCCGGATTTTTGATAGGTATGGCCTCGCACCATTTCGTAAAATAATCTATAAGAACAAGGAGGTGGCGGTTCCCGTTCCTTGTGACTGGCAAAGGCCCCATTAGATCGACTCCGACTCGCTGACCTGGGGACGTGGCCACTATCGGTTCCAATGGGGCCCGGGATAGGGGGGTCTTCGATTTGATAGCGGCACAGATCTCGCAGGCGTTACATAGCTTCACGACGTCGGCGTGGATTCCTGGCCACCAGTACCGTTGACGTATGGCTGTCTCCGTCTTTAGTTGGCCAGCGTGACCTAACTGCTGATGGACTGCTTGTAGTACGCCCGGCACTCTCGACATAGGAGTAATCACTTTCGGGCCCAGGTCATCCATGAGGAACAGCGTCCCACCAATGATTCTTAATCGGCTCCAGTGGTCCCATAGTGAGCGTTCGTCTTTCGAACGGGATTGCATTTCCGTACCCGATGGTTTAGACGATCCTTCCACTTGCCGCATATAAATGTTAGATATATATGGGTCCTGGGCTTGATCCTCTGACCACGTTGTATCAGTTTCCGAGTGGTGTAGGACTGCATTTATTTCGTCCAGAGCGGGAATTCGAGAAAGGGCATCTGCGTTGGCATGCCGTGCTCCCGGCCGGTACTCACAGGTAAAATCGTACTCTTGTAGGCGTTCTTGCCACCGCGCGACTTGTCCCTCCGGGTCACGGAAGTTTTGTAACCATTGCAGAGATTGATGGTCAGTCCGCACAAGGAAAGGTTTTCCGAGTAAATATGGTCGAAAATACTTCAAGAAATACACCAAAGCCAACATCTCACGTCTCGTTGTGCTATACTTACGCTCTCGCTTGTCCAGTCGGCGGCTAGCATAAAAGATCACGGTTTCCCCAATAGAAGTTTTCTGCGACAAAACAGCGCCAATCGCCTCGTTACTGGCGTCGGTGTCTAGGACAAAAGGCCCTGCTCGTTCGGAAGTATCCGGGAGACCTAACAGCGGTGGCGACGTGAGGCATTCTTTCAGTCGTCCGAAAGCACTGGCACACTCGTCCGTCCAAACAAACTTCCGTCCCTTTTCCGTCAGGCGATGTAAAGGCGCCGAGATCGAAGCAAAATTGCGCACAAATCTCCGGTAGTAAGATGCCAGTCCCAAAAAACTACGCAATTCATCAACTGATCTGGGTTGTGGCCACGACCTTATCCGTTCGCACTTGTCGGGGTCGGTTTGAATGCCATCTGGCGTTATTACGTGTCCCAAAAAGTTAACATGCTCGCGGAGAAAACGGCACTTCCGTCCCTTCAGCTTTAATCCAGCCTGCCGTAACCGCTCCAAAACTGTACGTAGACGGGTGTTGTGCTCTTCGACCGACCTACCATGCACTATCACATCATCCAAATATATCAAACATTCCTTGGGTACGAGGCCCTCCAATACTTTCTGCATTAGGCGCTGGAAGGTGGCTGGGGCATTAGCCAACCCGAAGGGCATGGTCTCGAATTCATACAGCCCGGATGGTACAATGAACGCGGTTTTCTCCCTATCGGACGGACGGACCTCCACTTGCCAATACCCGGCGGCCAAATCGAGAGTAGTAAACCATCGTGCACCATGAAGAGCATCAAATGTGGCGTCAATGCGAGGGAGGGGGAAGGGGTCTTTACGGGTGACTTCGTTTAGCTTTCGGTAATCTACACAAAGTCGTAGAGAACCATCCTTCTTCTTCACGAGTACGATTGGAGACGACCAAGGCGATGTCGATGGGCGAATAACGCGCATATCAAGCATCTCTTGGATCATGCGATCTAGCTGGGCTTCGTAATGAATGGGCACCCTTCGCGCCCGCTGGCGAATAGGATGCTGACTCCCTGTATCAATTTCGTGTTGGATGACGTTGGTGCGCCCAAGTTGAGTGTCGCAAAACAGATCCTCATAATTACGCAGCATGGAGAGAAGTGAGGCTTTTGAGTCTGGGGAAATACCACTGTGGTTACGCAAAGGCTCAGTGACATCAGTCTCGAACTGTGATGGTTTCGAGGTGGCTTCTAAAACTGTGCAAACTCCCCGTGAGTGACACAGCTGCGTGTTGACAGGAGTGGACTTTGGTAATAGATTCGCGGTACCAAGCTGCAGCAAGCTTCCATGCTTAGCCAAAAAATCCATCCCTAGGATGGCGTCCCAACTTAGGTTACGACAAACTAGAAACTCGTGTACTGCAGTAACATGTTCCAGTTGGACTTGAGCCAACACTGCGAATTCGACGGGCAACTCAGCCCCGTTGGCCGTTAACACTCGTGGCCTTCTCTGAGTAGTGGCGTGGTGACCCCCGAGGCGGTCGGCTATTTCTAGACGCAACAACGAACATGACGCACCGGTGTCAAGCAAGAACTGGATGTTAAAACCATTGAGGCAGCCAACGGTGGTTAAAGGTCGAAACGGAGCATTACGAACAAAAGTAGATGCAAGGAAGCCGGATGGATTAAGACGTGACTTACCTTGCGAACGTCGCGGCTTGATCGGTGGGTTATGTCCGCAAAATCGCGCACAAATTCCAAAGTGATGGCAGTACCAACAATCTCGCCTGGAAGGAGTGGAGTTGAGGTTAGATGCTCTGCTATCGGTGCTGGACACGTTTTTCAGTGCTGAACACAATGTGGCCTGTCCATACTCGTCGCGAGCGTCCATCGAATCCAGGGACCCGTGAAACTGTGCCTTGTTCATGGCAACCGTGAAACTGCAGGGCAGCATCTCGGCCAGTTAGTGACGTAGCGACCTGTCGTGCAACCCGGTGCAAAAACGCTCAGCCAGCCGCTTATCCCGTTCGGCGTTGGAGAGATCGGGAATGGCTCTCAAGAAGAGCTCCTAAAGAGTGCGCGCGAACGCTTCGACCGATTTTCCTGGCTGTTGTGTACGAGCAACGAATTTTTGTCTATACAGAACTGCGGCTTCCTGTTTCCGAAACAGTCCGCGCAGAGATTCCCATATTTCTGACGCTGGCGTCGTTGGAGGAATTCCAGTTGCGCGGAAGAGACGCGTGGCTTCCTCGCTCAAAAACTGAGAACGTAAGGGCTCAAGTTCTTTACAGGGACACTGGAAAGGTATAACGATACATGAAACTCCCAATTGTCGAAATCATCCCACGGCCGAAAAACTGGGGGTTGCCTCTGCACAGGTCAAAACTCCAAAAAATCCTGGGTAACAACACGAAGTTGCGAGTTCATTTTTGGGGCTGACATTTTCCCTTTCCATTGCGATCCCATCTCTGTCACCAACTGTAACGAAGTTCTTGGATTGGGGTACCGGCGGGAGCTAGAAAACAGGCACGGA